ATCCATAACCCACCTTTGCCTTAACATGCACTCAGGCACTGATCCATCAGGTCAGTACTTATGTTAATTCCCAACGTTGTTCTGACTGGTCCCTGACTCTGACTGGTCCCTCAACTAAATTTGATCATGTCTTCTTTTCATGCTTCACTGGGGTTCTTCTTACCTACTGTGAGTTAAAACTATGAAGCTTAGGAATTTCATCTACCCCTGAAGTGCTTCAGAATTGGCAAACTCTAAAGCCTCCCTTGGGAACACTAACGATGTTTTTTTCACTCCAATAAATATGATGTTGTTATTTTTGTCCAACCAAACTCTTACTTATCTTTAAATTCTATTTCCTGCTTGGTTTTATACAGACACAGATAAGAGGGCAATTTCTTCCTCACAAAAATCATGCACCTACTTTAAGACTAGTATTAAAATTACACTCATCTTCCTTCTTCAGGGTACATACCTATGATTCCCATAACACTGTTTATCATTTAATGTTCTATCTTATGTTCTCTCAAACCTGTCCAGTTTTTACACATCTTTTTACAAATAAAGTGACCAAAACAGGATACCAACAAATAATAGACAACTTACAAATAAATACAACACAATACTAACGTGGCCAAAAAAGAATACCCTTTGAAAAAAAGAGATTAATCAACTATGTTATGGTCCCTTAAACAGTGACAGAGGACAGGAATAGAAGAAAATCACAATCTCAGAACTTCCAAAAGTTAATTCTCTTGCAGTGAGTTTGTTGTTTCCTCACACACCAGGAGACCCCAATCTTCGTAGCCATTGAGTCTTTACAACCTCCCCATCTCCAGGCAAGAAAAGCTTTTAAAAAAAAAAAAAAAAAAAAAAGGCTCTTTCCTAATCTTTTATTTCCTTTAAAGTCAAAGCCTCATTTTTCTGAGCTGGAGAAGCAGGAAGAAGGTTGAGCAAAGATAAAGCTGGAAAGCAAAGAAAGAGAACTCTATATTTTTCAAAACTAAATTTAGCTGATAGAACTTGTTTTTCCATAATGTGAGCAAAATATTTACCTTCCTTTAAGATAATTAAGTGGCACGTGAATTGCAAAATTAGACGACTTTTACCAAAAAAATGAGATCAAAAAACCAGACAAAAATACAGAAAATAAAGCTAATGAGAAGAGAGGAGATAGAAGACAGGAATTAAAAAATGAAGATAGACTGCAGGGTGCAGAAACAGAGTTGTATATCAAGGGAAAAGAAAATAGAAATCTGTCCCCAAAAAATTAGCAGAGTGATGGATGCAAAATATAATTTCATTTTGTTTGTGTTTCATTTTAAAGAAAGCAATAATGTAGCTGTTTGAAATTAGTTTCAGGGAACAGAGGAAAATGGATTTCAGACTATCAACAATACATGGAAGGGTACCAAATATTAAGGGCTTTTATGACAAAGTCTTCTAGAAAATGAAGGACTGAGTCAGGAATAAATAGCCATATAAAAACATCTGTAATTCAACAATACTCTTCAAGTTTAAGCCTGCCTTTATATCTCTCTGGTAATACACTGAACAGGAAGCTACACCATGAAAATATGAGAAGATGCTGCTGTATGAGCTACTTCTACCTCCACCTCTTGGACCTGTCTGGGTCATGGCAGCAACTAGCAAAATCCTAAGGAGTTAAAGTCCACCCCATACCCAAGACCAAAAACTACTCCCACCCCACCTTGGCTCAATGGTTTTCTCCCACTGTGGTGAGGGTGGTTTTGGAAAAGCTCCTCAAATGCCAGGAAACACTGTAATACAAAAAGAAAAAACAATTCATAAGTACCAAAACTTAACTAACATTTTGGCCTCCCTCTCAAGGAAGATAGGTATAGTAGAAAAAGCACTAGTCTAGGAACCAGAAAACCAAATGTATTCTGCTTGTTCAGCATTCATTCTAAGATGTTTGCTCTATTCCAGGTGACTTGTGGGGGAGGAGAACAAACACTCTCTTTCTGCTAAGCGTTGTTAAACTAGTAGAATATAAGCTAGAAGCTGCTGATGGCCATCTTTGCCACTAATTGGGCTGAAAATGGAGCCATCAGAGAAGCTAGCAGAACTAAGGGATGTCAAGAGACATTCCTGGTGACACAATTTAAGAACCAGGATCCAGCTTTTCCTGCAGATAGTTTCTCCCTAAAGTTGGTCTGTAATGGGTTTCTGTGACTTGCAAGTAAGTCTAGCCAATACACTTGGGTTCTAATTCCACACCAGACCTGGGCAAGTCATTCGTCATTTATCAGTCTTAGCTTCCCCTTCTATAAAATAGGCTAGATCCAAGGTTTTCAAAATCTTTTTTAAGCAATGGAACTTTATTTTTAAACAAAAATCTTATTTTGATACAAAAATTTTTAAAAATGACTTTATTCATATAAATGTATTTTATAAGATCAGATTTACATTTACTTCTGACCAAAATCAGTAACAATGGGTATTTAAATCTCACCTTAAGACTGAAAATAAAAATGACTATTAATATAAAAGTACTTTATCAGATCAAATGTATAATATGTACTATTATGGCCAAAATCAATGAGAAAAATGATGTGTTTTGATAAAAACAAAATGTTAAAATTGGACACTAATGGTAAAAATTGAAAGCTTTTATCAACTTCTCAGGAATCAATTTATTTCTATATTTTGTTTTGGGTACACATTAGTAAGACAATCCTAATTCAAAAAGAATAGTTGCAAAGAGTAACATATGTTTTCCACATGTGCCTTACCCCATGATACTATTTATTTAAAGGTGAAGAAAAGGTTTAAGTTCTGCACAAAAGAAAACTTGACAGCACAAGGTTTTTTAAATAGGTCTCCAACTGGTTAAAAGTTAGTACATAATAGTTCAGCACTGATGTGTGGGGTTTTTTAAATGATTTAAACCTCATTAAAAAGTTAAATCTGAACCAAATTACAGATTCCAATTAGTACCTTCACAGAACTCTAACAAAACAGATAATCTCTAAACTCTTCTAAGAACATTTTCAGTCAGATTCTTAGACACTCACTGCCCATAGGAAATTATATACCGACTGCCCATAGGATTTTGACTAATATCAAAAGTTATAATTCCTTTTTTTATAAGCCTGCTGTAAAGAAAAGAAAAATTTCACCAATTCCTATTCACGACCTTGGAGAATTATGAACATAGACAAATGATAAATTGGGTCAAATAAGAAGACTACTATAACAATCTATTCAATCTTATTGAGAACCAACTTGATGACGCAGATCATAGAAGGTGCTATAAAACATTCATTATTTAAGAGTGCCTGCTTTACAACAGAAATGAGTAAGTCTCCATCGCTAACCTCAAGAAGTTAACCACAGAGCATACAATACATTCATTCAGTAAGAGTGTCTCCTCAGTGCCACCAGCCACTGTGCAAGCAAGTGGGGCTAAAAAGTGAACAATATATACATGATCCCTACCCTCATAAGTTTAGACTTTAACCTAAGGGCAGTAGATAACCAATGAATATTTTAAACAAACAGAACATATAATCAGGTTAACATTTTTGAAAGATGGCTGGCTACTACGTGAAAGTTACTAGAAATTGGAGGTAGTACACCCAAGGATACAGAGACCAGTTAGGAGGTACTACAGTGATGACAAAGTAACAGGAACTCAAAAGAGGGAACAACAAACTCAGCTGAAGTATGTGGAAACAAAAAAGCTTCAGAGAAGTAATGCTGCAACTCAATCTTAAAAGACAAGGAGTAGGCCAGACAAGTAAAGGAAAGGAGTTTGTGCAATAAGAGAAGACCATATCAAAGGCATGTTTGGGAAATTTCAAGTAGTTCCTCACAGTGGGTCTTGAATGAGATGAATCATAGCTAGAAAGGCAGACGAAGGAAAAGATAGTAAAGCATATTTTATAACAAAGAAATATCTCCAGGACACTAGGGAGTACTTTTATAAGCAGGGTGACCGGCTTTATGACCAGGCTTACATTTTAGAAAGATTTTTCCAGGGACAGTTAGCGTAAAGAAGACAACAAGAAGCCTAACCATCCAAATAAGAACACATGCTTGGGGGCCGGCCCGTGGCTTAGCGGTTAAGTGCACGCGCTCCGCTGCTGGCGGCCTGGGTTCGGATCCCAGGTGTGCACCGATGCACTGCTTCTCCGGCCATGCTGAGGCCGTGTCCCACATACAGCAACTAGAAGGATGTGCAACTACGACATACAACTATCTACTGGGGCTTTGGGGAAAAAGAAAGAAAGAAATAAAATTATAAAAAAAAGAACACATGCTTGCCAACAGATACACTGTCTCAAAGTCCTAATCTAATGATTTATTCTGACAACCAAATATGGTCCAAGCAAGTACTCTGAGCTTTAGAAACTAAGCAACTAATATCAAGTTCAGGCCACACTGCTGTTGACATGGCTATTAAAATGAAAACAGGGAAGTCTCTGTAGATAAAATACTAAAAATGTAATGGCGGCAGAAGATAAATGAAATGAAGAGGAAAAAACAGCAACTAAGAAAACAGGGAAATAGAAAAAATTTTATTTTAGGGTAAGAATTACCTCCATTTGTTGTCAATAGCGCACAGCTCCACCTCTTATATGTAATAATAAACAAATTGTGGTTCTTGACATGCAGTTCAAAAGCCAAATTTAATTTAATATACAACATGTAAGAAAATAACCAAACAAAAACCAGATTAGAAACAGCCAACTATAACAGAAGACCAGCTCTACACTAACTAGCTTCTCACTGCTTAAAAAGAAAGCTCTCCCTGTCTAGCTGGTCCTTGAAGTATACCAACTAAAATGGGGGTGGGGTGGAATGGGGGGGTAGGGTAGATGGGGTGAAGGAGGACTTATTATTTCAAAAAGGTTCCTGATCAATGAACTAGACAAGTTCCTAAATGTTCTCATTCCAATTCTTTTTCTTTATATAAAAGATATAACTCAGATTCAAACATGACAACAGATATAATGAAGAATCCAATTATTTTATCTTAAGAAAATGAATCCTACCTTTCCAGGGTCATCCTTGGATCGAGGCACTTTAAGGAAACATTTGTTCAGTGACAGATTATGTCGTATGGAATTCTGAAATTAAAAAAGTAAGAAAAGCCATCGAGTCATTGGAATCCAAAAAACAAAACCCTCCTTTAAAAACAGAATCAGAAAACTAAATATCTCTATGCACTGGAATACAATTATAAATGGAATGAATAAGCTTTTAAAATGAGCTTCAAATTTAAACCTTTCTGATTTTCAAATTATGAATGCTGCAAAGGGAAGCAGTTATTAGAAAAGATAGTTTCTAGGAGAAGTTACAAAACTCCAAATAATGGAATATATGTCCCATTTTAAATGTTCATTAAGACCTTTTTCCTGGCTGAGGAAGATTTGCCCTGAGCTAACATCTGTTGCCAACCTTCTTTGTTTTTTCGCTTGAGGGAGATTCACCCTGAGCAAACATCTGTGCCAATCTTCCTCTATTTTGTTTGTGGGTCATCGCCTCAGCATGGCCGAGGAGTGGTGTACATCCATGCCTTGGAACTGAACCTGGGCTGTTGAAGCAGAGTGCACGGAACCTAATGACTAAGCCACGGGGCTGGCCCCTATTAAAATCTTTTCATGACGTAGGAAGATGCCTATAGTTAATGTTAAATATTAGATGTCAAATATAGAATTGTATACATATTATGACTTTAATTGTGATATGTATTTACTAACTAATTTATTTATTCTTGGAGAAAAGCCAGAATGCAAAATGCTAAGAGTTGTTCTACATGGAATTATAGGTGATGGTTATTTTCCTCTTCGCTTTTCCTCAATGTTCAAATGATCTACAAGGCTCATGTATTATCACTTTTTAATGAGTTAAAATAATTTTTAAACAAAAAAAACTCCACTGCTCCGTTCCAAGAGCATACAGAAATCAATCAGCTTCTCACTACAATCTGTAAGAAAGAAAACTACATGGGAAGACACTGGATACAGAGGGCTGGAAAGAACATTCAGGTTCCTTGATGTAGCCCAAAAGAATAACCAACTTGGATGGCAAAAAAATATACTTGGAGAATCTGTGAAACAGGAAATCTTTTCATGAATAAGTAGGACTTTGGCACAATTTTTACAGAAAATATCCAAAGGCCATTTCTCCTTAATGGAATGCTCCAACATCCATCCCATAATTTTGTTTGTTTCAAAATGGCCAGGTATTTGGTGGAGAGAGGCTCCAGTTGCATTTAGCCACTACTTAGAATTTGGGGGGGGGGGTCATTTTTGGGCATAATGTCTATTTTACGTTTTAATATAAAATTCAGAACTCTAACAACAATGCTTACAGTGCAACTTCCCTCTCGTGGGGCAATACTGGGATTAAAGAAGTTTTTTAAAAAAGACCACAGAATATAAATCTAAGCCTATCTTGTTAGAAAACATCAATTTAAAACTTATGAATGGGAGTCCACCTCTGCCTGGGATGTAAATGGCTACAAAGAAGATGATCCCTCCCAAACAATGAGAAAACAATGGGTAAGCCAAAACAAAAATCATCCTTATTTTTGACCTCCATCAGAAAGCAGAGGTTGCAAGGCAGACCAAGAAACGAAATTCCTAAGCCCATTCAAGCAGAAAGGGGACAAACTGTCTCACCTTTTGGCAGAGTATGGGAGAAAGAGGTGACCACCATCCATGCATCCCAGAAGTTATCTAAAATTTGAAAGGCCAAGCATGGGCTAATGCATCAGTTTAGAGTAAAAAGTGCCCCAGACACGAGAAGTTCCCACTCACTCTCAAGCTCTTCTCCATGGGCCTTCACCATATGCTCACAAGAAAGACTGGAGGTACAAAAGGAGACCAAGGAAAGTCTCCTTTGTGGCAGAGGCAAGAAGGAGGTAATTGACAGCTGCAGCGGGAGACAAAGCCCCATCACCTTCTACAGATCTTACAAAGCAAAAACTTAAGTGTAAAGTAGGGGCAGCAAAAGCTCTCACCCATAGGGCTCCGGCAAAGATTGCTTCTGAGGGAAGAATGGAAGCAAAGTCCTTCTACCTCTAGGGAAGGATAGGAAACCATTTCCCAGGACACAGGCAAAGATCTACTGCTGATGGAGTAACAGTACAAGCAAAATCCTTTCACCTCTGGGACAAGTGGAAACTACCATGGGCCCAGGATCCTATGCCAAGATACCATGCCCAAGGTCAAGGTCAGCTACAACTAAGGGAAGGGCAAGAAACTCCCACTCAAAAGCAACTACAGATACAAGGCCAGTCTGGCTGAGGGAAATAAACACTTAAGAAGCCCCACCACCCAAGTCCAAGGGCCTTAGTAAGACACAGGCTAGATTAAGACAACACTGAAAACCCCCAGCCCCTAACACAAGAACAGCATTGAACAATAAGCATTAACAGCCTACTGAGAAAGGAGGGACAGGAGCATGGAGAGAGACCCCCATCTGTAGCAAAGTGGCCAGAGACAACTAAAATCTAAACGGAAAGCTGGAAAACTGAGAAAACCATACAGCACCCAAGCCTCCCACTCCAAACACAAGGTAAAAGGAGCCTAATACTAGTGGAATGTAAAGTCTATGGTATACTGAAGGTAAAGATACCCAAGCCTCCCACTCCAAGCACAAGGTAAAAGGAGCCTACTGCTAGTGGAATGTAAAGTCTGTGGTATACTGAAGGTAAAGATACCAACAACAAAACCCAAATCCAGCTCAACCACTGACAGACTGATTCAACTCCTCACACAAATGGCCTGGGAAAAAAGATGCTTGTCCATTTACAGATATAAATACTATTTACCTCAATCTCTACCATTCTTCTACACATGTATCTGGCACTCAGTCAAAAATTGCAAGACATATATAAAATCCAGGAAAAAAACCCACCTTCAAGAGAGAAAGTAATCAACAAAACCCAACTGAGAGATGACTCAGGTGTCAGAACTATCAGGCAAGAACTTTAAAATAACTATGACTAATAAGTTCAAGGAACAAGTAGAAAAAAGGGGACGACTTGCATAAAGACATGGGAAATTTGGGCCAGCCCTGTGGCTTGGCGGTTAAGAGTGCGCGCTCCGCTGCTGGCGGCCCGGGTTCGGATCCCGGGTGCTCACTGACGCACCACTTCTCCGGCCATGCTGAGGCCACGTCCCACATACAGCAATTAGAAGGATGTGCAACTATGACATACAACTATCTACTGGGGCTTTGGGGGAAAATAAATAAATAAATAAAATAAAATAAAAAAAAGAGATGAGAAATTTCAACAGAGATGTGGAAACCATAAGAGTCAAATGTAAATGACAGAAATAAAAAACACGATCAAAGATAAAAATTTCCCAGATGGGCTCATCAGTAGACTGGACACAACTAGGGAAAAGCTCAGATATATTGAGGATAGATCAAAAGAAATTATCCAAACTGACACACAAACAAATGCACACACGTGCACAAATACTAAATACTAAAAAAAAAAAACCAGATCATCGAAGAACTGTGGAACAATACATGTGATCCAAGTCGCAGAAGGAGAAGAGAAAAAGAATGGGGTGGAAGAAAAATTTGAAGAAGTAACAGCCAAGAATCTTTCAAAATTAATGCAAGGCATCAAATCACATATGCAAGAATTTCAGAGAACACCAAGCAGAACAAATTAAAAATCTACACACCTATAATTCATTATAATCAAAATGCTGAAAATCAAAATGAAGAGAACATCTTGAAGATACCAAGAGAAAAAAAGAAAGATTATGTACACAGGAATAAAGATAAGAATCATAGCAGACGTCTCAGAAACAATGCAAGTTAGAACACAACAAGAGCGACATCTTTAAAACACTAAAAGAAAAAAAAACTGTCAATTCTATATGCAGTGAAAATATCTCTCAAAAATGAAGGCAAGGAGTGACATCAGCCATCATGGCAGAGTGAGCTTTGCCCCGTAGAGTCTCCCCACTAAGACACAAGAAAAAGGACATTCATATACCAACAGAGGACATTCACACAAAACACACCATGTCTGAGAGACCCACACAGCCATAGGTCCAAAGGTGGAGATGCTGGAACCCCTAGAGGAAGTGGAAGGAGATAAGGAGAACTCTTCTGCCTCCCAAACGACAGCGACCCTGGGACCAGGTCCTCGCAGCTCTCCAAGCGGGTGGGGACGGGCAGCCCTCTGCAGGAAAACCATCCCTCTCCAAGTTCTCTCACAGCCTGTAGGAAAGTCTCATATGGAGGGGACTGAACTGTTGCAGGGGTGCCTTCATCAAGCTAGCACCCCAGAAGAGTACATAGCGAGGAAAGCACGAGAAGCACCAGGGATGCGGCAGGGAAAACAAAGAGCCCCTCCCCTCCGAGACCAAATGGCTCTGAGAGAGAGAGGGGGAAGAGGCGGTCCCCTGAGGGAAAACCATCGCTCTCCAAGCTCTCACAGAGCCTGTGGGAAATTCCCATACAGAGGGGACTGAACTGTTGCAGGGGTGCCTTCAACAAGCTAGCACCCCAGGAGAGCAGTCAGTGAGGGAAGCACAAGAAGCCCCCAAGATCAGGCAGGCAAAAAAAGAGCACCTCCTCATCGCCTGGTGCCCCAGCACAAATGGTCAGCCAGAGCACCCACAGATCACAGTGGGCTCAGAATGCACAGCTCTTGAAACCCACCTAGTGGCAGCAGGTAGAAGATGCGACCAGATAGTTTCAGAATGAGGAAAAATAAGCCCACACCCTCAAGTGGTATGCAAAGATATATTAAATCTCCAAACCAGAAGAAAAATGACAGGCACCCAGAAATCAATCCTGAAGGCATAGAAATTTATAACCTAAACAAAAGAGAATTCAAAATAGCCATCATAAAAAAGCTTAATGAATTATAAGAAAACACAGACAACTCAATGAAATCAGGAACTTCTTCACAAAAGAGATTCACACTATAAAGAAAAACCAATCAGAAATGTCAGAGATGAAAAACGCAATGGAGGAGATAAAGAAAAATCTGGACTCTTTAAAGAACAGAGCTGACAATATGGAGGAAAGAATTAGCATTACTGAAGACAGGAATGCAGAAAGGCTCCACATGGAGGAGGAGAGAAAACTA